AGGTCTCTTTATGTTGTTCTTTCATGTTTGTCACTTTCCTCTGCTGTTTTGCAAACTGCTTTTGCAGTTAGTATGCTGATAAGTCTCAAGTAAGATTCATTACTATTTGCCTAAAATCCAAATGAAATTACATGGAAGATGCTGCTTGGAAAAAAAATTGTCATAAGTAGCAGGCATAATATCATGAGACTGGATGGGTTGCTTTCTTTCCCACCCTGTGAAAAAAATGATTTTATCTCTACCTTGTAATTATGCAACAGAAGGCAAATAATTAGCTTTATTTTGATGATACTCATATGCAGCTGTATCTGCTTCTCTGTCTTTCTGGCTATATTGCAACTATTCCTTCACTCTGAATTAATATTTATGTATAAACACAGTCTTTCCATGAAGCTGAAACTCTACACAGAATTGGAAATCACCAGGTCATGTCCTATTATCTGTCTTAGTAGATGAGTAAATCTGATCCCCTTTGGAAGCAGGGTGAAAAAATTACCTGCTTTTTTGCTTGCTGCCAGCAATAAGGATCCATTTTATGTGTCTTACGTAAGTTGGAAAAAAATAATATTGTATTTATCTGGGTACTGAAGGTACAGTACAGAGAAATAAATCTGTGTAAGACGCATGCATTAGGTATTGCTCGTCTTGCTGGGGAGCCGTACAAAACAATGCTTGTTTATCCAGTAACTTCCTTTTACTAGTTCAGTGGTTCTCAACCTTTTTAGACGTGAGGGACCCCTCAAACCCCTCCACAACTTGTTAGTATTTTGCAGCACCCGACTTAAGACACTAATATGAATAGTATAAGATAATCATAATTACAGTGTTAATGATCTAGTTCGTAATTTATTTCTTCTTTATATCGTACTTGCCCCACTGTCACTGCTGCTGTGGCTAGGTGGATCTGCACCACGTACTTCTTGCAGAACCAGGTTGGGAAGCAGCTGTGGTGGGAGCTTTCACTGTTGTGTGCAGCCCTTGCCAGTCTGACCCTGCATGACATCTGGAAACAGAGGCCTGTGAAGTGATGGGAACTGTCCCACATGCCTCTTTTCAGGAGGCATGGCAGAGTTGAACTGAGAAACAGGTAGAGTTGAAAAGTATGCTTGGCAGCATTACGTTACACAGGCAGGTGCACTGTTTCTGCTGCAGCTCTTTCCAGTTTGACTCCAATGTGCCTCCTGAACATAGAGATGTGTGGGGCAGTGCTACCTGGTGGCAGTGGCATGTCCCTCCAAGCTGCTGCCGCTTTGGGATGTAATTGCCTTGCATGCCTGGATTTTCAGGGGGCACATGGAGCCCCACTGAGAAGGAACTGTAGCAGAAGCAGCGTGCCTGCCTGTATAATGTAATGCAGTCAGACATGCCACCCTCTGCTGCAAGTCCTTTTGGTTGGGCTCCAAGGTGTCCCTTGAAAACTAAGGTGCATAGGGCAATTTCACCTCGCAGCAGCAGTGTCGTGGCACCCCCAACAGGTTCTCATCCTGTGTCATTGCAGTCTGCAGAAACACACAGGTGTAACTTCACCCTGATGCTTAGCTCCTTATCGGTATTTTTTTGCGCAGACCTCTAAAGATGGACGTAGGGGAGATGGATCTGAAAGCACAGGAAGTGGGTCTTGGAGAGAGTGCCTAGAGACAATTTATGGCCATTCCTTTCCTGATTCACCTTTTTTTTTTCTTTCTTTCTCCCTGCTCCCAGTCAAGGGCTGATACTTTTCATAGCCTCCAAACTCCTTCTGGTTTTGTATTTATTCTCTCCCTTGAATTACATTTTTGCTAATTGGATTTCTTCTTCTCTGATTCTTTGGTGTTCCCTTTCTTTCTGAATCCACTCCCTTTCTTTCATCTGGCTCTTGCCTTTTACATAGATAAATGCCTGATTCAGCTAATAGAGTGTTTACATGTTGCTATGTCAGCTCTTCCACCCTGCAAGTATCACCAGCTTCCCTGCCTCTTTTGTCATATAACTTTCTCTGTTCTTTCTTCCATGTACTTTCTTCTCCATAAATAGAGAATCAACTTCCTGAGTTAGTCCACAAAACCTCACTATTTGCACTTCTTGAACATGCCTTCTGAAGGCCCACTCCTTGTATGATGCCAAAAAGAAGCAAGCACACAAACAAACAGGAAACCCTTTTATTTGTTTATATACATAATAAGCATTATTTTTATAAGAATATATTAAAATGTTTGGTATTCCGTTATATGTTAGCCTTGGGCGAGTACAACTACATGGTTTTATTGATGTCTTCCCCTACTGCCTTGTGACTCTGATCTTTGCATCTGAAATTAATCTGTAAGGTCCTTGGGACAGATCAAGCTTTATCTCTGTTGCAAGGCACTTATTCATCTTGTACAAGGTACAAAAATAATAATACACACCAAGGTGGCATAATCCATTGATTTTTATTTTGGGATTACCTTGATTTAAGATTGTTTATATGGAAAGTATACATATCCTTTCATATTATATATTTGCTAAAATTTTTAACTAGTGTGGACACTTGCCATGTATTGCAGTACACTGCAGAAGTCAGCTCATCCAATCCATGATTTTTTAAATGAAGTTTTTCCTGTTTCATACCACCTTAAATGTAGTAACTGCAAAATATAACTCTTTATTACTAAATCAACAGATTTCCTAGAATAGAAGTTGTTGAATCTGACTACTTGTGTCTGCACAGGAGTGTTTCTGTGCTATTTGATTAAAAATAGTTTGGGTGTTTCCTACAGCAGAAAAAAATGATTAAAACTGTGATTCTAGACATGCAATGCTTTAAGTAATAAAAAAAGTAAAAGGAGAGGGCTGTTTTTGTTGGTTTTTATTTGTTGATTACCTATGCAAGGTAATCTGTAGTATTCTAACCTGCTAATTGTGTGTCCAGACAGCAGGGGTGGCCAAACCATGGTTCACAAGCCTTGTGCTGTTCCTGGGGAATTTAAATTTGGCTGCTGAAAAAAAGTCATTTAATGACAAATTATTTGAGCTGGGGTCCTGTGGGGGATGCACATCTTAAATCTATTGTGTTCTGCAGCTCTTAGCCACAATCGCCGTTCATGGTGTCTGCTGTTGTTACATTTTACAAGTCAGGCAGTTGTAATACTTAGCCTTATACAGACTTTGGGGATCTGATTCAGGGCTATTACACCTGCAGCTGTGATGCATGATTGATTTTTCTGGATGTTTGTTTGGGGTGGTTTTGTTTTTTTCCCCCCCTCTTTTGTAGAGATGTTTACAGTCAATGTTTTCTTAAACTATTTGAGAGGAGTCAGGGTTGACTAATGATATTTTTGTGATTCCTAATTAATCTAATCCTGTAACAGCATGAATGACCAGTGTATTGCAGCACAACTAACCACATATTTACTAAATCTGCAAGCATTTTTGTTCCCTTGAATGGTACCCTTCCAGTTCTACTGAATTAACTCTGACTTTCAAGTGAGTTTCTTATCTAGAAACACTGTGAACTATATAAGAATTGCCTTTAGGTAGACAGTGTGAGTGAACGACAGCATCTTAAATGCTCTGCATGAATATCAGTTCTATTCAGGTTGAGGAGAGAGTTAGCTTGCTGCAGCTCATTTTTAGTGCATTTTTTGAAGAACAGAGTAGGGTTGGGGTGAGAGTTCACACCAAAATTAATATGCAAGTAGAGGAGGCTGCTATTATATTAAGAAATGACTGCTAGCTAAAATGGAAATATTTTCAAACAAGGCTGACTCGCATAGTGTACAACTGGGGAGAGTGACCGCTTATTGCATGCAATTGCTGCAGTGTGTGTTGTCATCTGATGCCCTTTATAAAGTAAAGTTATAAACAAGCTAATAATAGGACCACTACAGTTAAGTATCTGTCAGCATCTTCATTAAGCCAGTCCTATTTTCAGGAGTTTGTAACTGTGCCATAAAAATGTTCTATTGGCCCAAATTCTCTCTTGCCTAGAGACGCTTCTAGCCCTTATTTGTATAAATCCATGCGTCTGCTTATATGGTAGAGGAGTATAAATAAGTTTGCCTCTGATGGAAGTAGAAATAAGAGAGTTTTCAATAGCTTAGAGTTCTTCAGTCAAAACTACTTTTTGTAAAATGAACGATCAACCTGATATATTGAAAACAATAAAACATAATATATGTTGAAAATTGGAATTGAAATTGGAAAGACTTACCTCAGCATAGCAGAGAAGCTAAATGAATTACTTGCATTGGTGTTTACTGCAGAATACTGGCCTAGATGGATCATTGGGCTGACCCAGTATAGCACTCCTCGTGTCCTTATCCTACTGACCAGAGTAGATTCATCTGATTCACCAAGTCCAGGACTTGAAAAATTAGGGCTGACCTAAACTGTAGTCAGGGAGTCTGTACTCCCTGATTTGGGCTGTCTTCATCTGTGTAATACCAATCTGTCAATGTAACCACTTCACACATTTTGGACACTGAGTGCATTCTTTGTGCCACTTGGAGGTGCGTGCAATTTGATCTGAAATTGTAGTGCCGTGTCTGTGTTGAAGAAAGGGAAGTACAAGCTGCTGCTGTCCTGGAGATTTGAGCACATTGCCTCCAGGATGGTGCAGGCCTCTCTGGAGTCTGAGGATCAGAGGAGTTCCCTTACCCACATGAGCAGCTCCACTGAAGATAGATGTACTGTTTGTGTACGCCAGTATTGTAGGGTTGGCCCCCAGGTTAATAAATGTGTGAGCTCTTAAGTTTGGGTCTGTCCTCAGTTTGCATATCTAAAGTCTGATTCTACTGTTCAACACCTTCATCTCTAGCAAAGTTAATAGTGGTTGAATGGGCAGCAAAACATCTGAAGAAGTAGCTCTGGCTTTCTGACTTTTCAGCATTTTTTTTTTTTTTTAAGGTGTAGGGAGAGGAGAAAGGGAAGGAAGATTTAGAATATATTAGAAAACAGGAATCATTTCTAATAAATTAATGCTTTGCAAACAAACTTTTGAATGATGGTAAATTGTTTTTCTCTCCCTTCCTCTACATTCCTAGCACAACATTCTGAAATTTTTTGGCCATTGCAACGACATTGACCGGGAGATGCGGAAATGTTTAAAGAAAGAGGTAAGTTGTTAATTTAAAAGGCAAGTCTAAAAAGTTGAAGTTTTCTAAGGTTATATTAGAGTGAGTAGTGACAGGACAGATTCTTTAGTCTAGTGCAATAAAAACATATAATTAGCTTGTAATGTTGCTTCCATCCTGAATTGGACATGGGTGAGACTCAAGCCTACATTCCTTGTGAGAGAGGCCTGTTACAGGTGTGCATAGTGAGAGATGGGGTTGAGACCCAGGTGCGTAGGTAAGATAGAGGAGAGGCCTCTCTGGCCGCCTTGTTCTGGTAATTAATTGTACGGGCCAGGTCCTGGAAATGAGTAATTGTAGGCAGGTCCCTGAGCCCCAAAGAAACTTGCTGAAGGCAACATAGCTCTTTAAGGTCATAGGTGTCTGCCTGTGCTGATCTTGTTGCTCCATAAGTGGCTTTGCTCTGATACCTTTTTAGAGAGATTCAGTTAAAGCACTTGTCAAAACTAGAAAATACACTTTTAGAACATCTTGTACAAAACAAGGGAACGATTTGTCCTTTTTACCACCTTTCACTTGGGTGTAGCACAAAGGAATTGCTCAGAAACATTACCTCTGAATCAAAAATACAGAAATATTTCGTCCTTTTCTGTATAATCCCCTTGTACTTTTAGTACTGATTGGCAATCTTGCAGTTGCTTAAGTGTTTTGCATTCTGTTGGTCCCTCTTCAGCAGAAATGTTAATATAGCCTGAGTGCACATAAAGACAAAAACTACTTGGTGTGATATGTTAATAAGAACTGGTGCCATTCTGCTCCTTGTGTGTGTTGGTTTTTAAACATTGGCCGAAGATTTCCTGTGAACCCAAAGGTAGGCAGGTATCTAAAAACCTGTTTCCTTGCACAGTACAGTACTGACAAAATCAAATGCAAAATAAGATTCTGAACTCACAGTAACAAATGCATATTCCACTGTTGTGTTTTTTTTTAAAACAAAATAGTAGTAAAGTGCCTCTCCTTTTTCATAGGACCACAATATTTGTACATTGCCTAACATAAAGTGACAATGGTTTAGTTCTGTTGGAATAGCACTTAATGAGGAAGTCTCTCTAACTGCAGTGAAACTATTTAATGAGTTGCTGAATTGAACCCAAAGATGATTCTCTAGGTAGAATGATCCTGCTCAGGACTCTGCTTATTTGCAGCCTTGCATTGCAGATGCAAGAAAATGGTCCACTTGACTAAACAATTAGAAGATTTAAGATAGGGGGCAAATTGTCAAATGGGCTATAAACTGATCTTTAAGCCTGTAATTGTCATTCATGTGATACAATTGATGCATGCAGCATTTGTGTGGAGTAATAGTGTCTGTATACATGGTGTATTGCACACACAGTTGCAGGTGCCAAATTGGCAGCCATAACCTGAAAATAAGACTCTGAATTCCTAATGCTGGACAAATAATGTTTGCTTTTTGTTATCAGTCAAGTTGCACTTAATCAGCTTTGACTCAAATAATTTTATACTACAGCTTGAAAAAGTGGGAGAGGACTGGGGGTGGGGAGTGTAAAATGTTGAACGTAAAAATCTTTGAAAATGGTATGTTGATCGCCTTCCAGTATAGTTATGATTATTTTTTTTCATTGGAATATTCACATATTAATTTTCTTGGAAGTTTGTGTATTATCTACTTCTTCGAACTATGGCTACAGTGATATAAAGGCATCATTGTAAAATCCCTGGAAGGACCAAAGGCTTACTGAGGTAGTTGGGTAACAATTTTAACATATTTTTTCTAAACAGAGTATGTGCTACAGTTTCAGGTGGTGAATATAAATGGATAGCAGGAGGGCATAGAAAACCAGCTGGCTGAAGCAGCAGACTCTAAAGACTATACTAGAGATGATGGGTTTTCTTTTTTGTTCCTATTATTGACGTTTGGCAGTTGTGGTTTTGTGGGCTTTTTGGTGCTCAAACCATTTATGAATTCTGTATTGACTTCTTTCTCACTTTAACTTGTACTCTGTCATCGCATCCAAAGCAAACAATTTTTGCTCCGGAAAGTGTGAGAATCAGAAGCCTATACTAATAGGGGAAAATGTAACCTTTCATCAGGTTTTGCTTTTTAAGCAAAAATACAAATACAAAGTGGCAGGCAACCAAATACAGGCAGTGTGCTATGTAAAAAGCCAACACTGAATAAAGTATTTGCCATAATATTCTGCAGTATGGGAAAAGTACAAAGGTTCAGTTGATTTCAAGTGAGGTATGGATTCACCATAGCTGGTTATAATAATCGCATATAAAATTTGAACAGAGATCTGCTGAAGTAGGCCTCATTTAATTTTTCAAAATAGCTTTCAGCTGTATCCTATTTAATAACCTGCCATTGGCTTTTCAAAATGTAACTTATTTGGTACTGGTCTTCCTTCACTTAGGAAGCTGTGTCCCTTCAGACCCCCTCACGTTTTATAGAAGAGGGAAAGTACATCTCGTGTACATGAGTAAAGTGGGATTTATCTGCTCAAATACCACTTGCATGTAATAGTCTCTCAGATAGCATCAGTCTGACATTTTGTAGATATAAATGCACTTTGCTTTAACCACTTCAATCAGTCCTATTTTTGGGAAGCTAAACATTTTTCTAGTAAGAGATAGTGTAGCATTAGCTCTGAAGCTAGGTTCTGGGAGAATCCTTCTTAGGACAGCATCCAGAGAGAACTATGCACTTTTGCCCTTGATACTTTGGTGTGTGGTTAAATCACATGCATATGCTTTACTTCAGGTCAAGAGTTACTCTCATTTGAAATCTAGGGCAAAATGTACCTTGACTTTAAATCCTTTTGAGATCTAAAGAAATTTATGTTAGGAAAAGTACTAATATCAAGCCTAGCCGGAGCTGAGAGAGATGCACAGTTCAGAATATGGGGCCCCAAGGTAAGATCTTTACACATTGTTAACTAAACAAAAATGTTTTGAAGTCTGCCTGACAAGATAACTGTAGGCTTAGATGATCTGTGTAGTGATTTCTACTGTGTAATCTTCGTTGTATAGAGGAGCTAAAAAGTAAAGCTTAGGCTAATTTGCACTCTTGTTGATCCAGTTTTAAAAATATATTGGAAATATGTAAATATCTGTAAGCTACTGTAGCCATAAACTATGTGTTGCTCTTTGGATGTTAGAAAAGCTTGTGAGAGCAAGCTGTCATTCAAACGATTAGTGTTTCCCTCTTTTCCCCATCCCTACCTCCTTACTTCCCACAAAGCCCTTAATAAAAAAAAAATGGCTTAGGTCCAGTGATATGAAAAAAAACAAACAAAAAACCAGAGGTAGAAGAGAGCTATTAGGTCATTTAGTCCAGACTTGTGCTCATGCAGGATTGAAGCCAGAAGTGCATCTTAAGGCCATTGTCTGGTCTAGTTCTAAATGTCTCATGGGCGAGAATTTTGACAGTCTCCTTGCACAGCAGTCTGTCTCCTGTTAGGTAACTTCCTGCTATGAAGACATTTGTCTTTGTTTAGCTCAAGATTTCCATTCAAAATTTTGATTCTGTTATGCTCCTCTAGTCGCCCTAAACATTCTCCCCCAAAAGTGCCGTGGTTGTGTTTTTTCAATCCTTGGAGCTACCACTTGCGGCCTTATGACTTTGCTATGTCACACTTCAGTTCTAATTTCTTTTCCATCAACCAGTTCTTGAGTCTTCCATCCCCAATTCTTTAATTTGGGAAAGCCTTTCTCTTCTGGGGTACAGGGTATTCTAGGAGTGTTGTGTGAGTAGCTGTGCATGGGCTTCACTTAATGTGAATGAGCCCTGGAATACAACAAACTTGAGAATGCGGTTGTGTATTAACGTAAATTGTTACCTGATTTTTACTATGCCTTGTCCACTTTGGAGTTAGTTTTTAAGACTTCCTGTTCTGGACAGCCTCTGTATCTGGGTTGAAAGTGCCTTTTGTGTATGTATTCCAGATTGCACAACTGTGTAGTGGTTATTTCTGGCTCTGTCCAGACCAGTGGACAATTCCCTAGATGAGGCTTCTGGCAGGGTCATTGTAGGCTAAATGCAAGGTTTTTACTGTCAGGTGGTTGAGATTCTGTTATAATAAGGCCCATCTTGGGAGGAAGGTGGTTTGCCTTTAACTTTCAGAATGATCTGAGTTCAGCCCATGAGCCACTAATGGCACATTTATAAGCTATGGATGTCTATAGCAAAATGCAACAGCTTTGTTCTTTCTTGTTCCCTTTTCAGATGGGAGATCAATCTACGTGGACCAGAAATGTACATAGGTTTCATTAAGAAGGCAGGGCAGGGTGGCACTTCAGGAACTGACTGGTTCAAAGAGGCATAGCTTTTGTAGGTGACAGGCTACCTTGTCAGATGCTGAGAATGGAGTTGCAGAAAGCAGGTGTTCTCAGTAAAAGGGAATTTAAAAATGGAGGATAGTGGGAGGGAGGCACTGATGTGAGAGGCAAAGGTGGATTAAATAGGTCAGTAGATGTACACAAAGCAATTAACCCACTGAGGGATATAAGCTATAGGTTATGAGGAGGGCAGCTTTGTGATCCAGATGCATGCCATCCCAGATTGACCATTTAAATTAGACTGGCCCAGTGCCCCAGAACTGGGCTCAGATGCTACACAGATGAACCACCTGTGTGTTTTAAGGAGATGTGAACCAATTACAACTTTATTTATTGTATGCAAGATGGCTGGGTAGTTAGCTTCCTCCAGGAGCCTCATATCCTCAAGTCTCTGTACAATTATGTTGTTGTTAAGTCTCAGCATTCATGCCAGCCTGCAAAAATAGCCTTTTTATTATGAAACAAATGTTAATTTCAAAGTATATTGAGACGATAAAACAAAAAGAGACGGTTCTTTTGTCACTGCAAATATAACGTCTGTCAAGCAAAGGCATTGATTCCCTTCTTGAGTGATAAACCCACTCTGCATTTTAAGTGTAATGACATTTTATTTCCCTGTCTGTCTTGCAGTTTGAAGCAAACAGAGCCAAGAGCAAGGCACATGCTGAAGTATTGCGACAGAGGCTTATTAATGCAAAAGACTCTGAGAGTTGAACTGTATGGTAGCTGGACAACTATACATCGTATGGACACTTGGCTGAAAGCTGAAGGCGTGTTTTATTTTCTGGGCACTTGGATATAGAAAGCTATTTATTTAACTGCTAATGTTTATAATAAAACATTGCTAAAGTTTACATTTGCCACTTTCAAGATATTAATTGTTTAGTAAGAGATTTAGTACAATGCAGTTAACATTTCTGATGTTTGTAGTATAAATAAATGTGTCATGATTTAAAAGGGAAGCAAGGTTGCTGGAAAATAAGTGTGCATTCTGCTGTTGGACACTGACAGCAGGCTGAGCAATAACCTGGGATACTTAAGTCAAATAAAGTGCCTCCAAAATCTTCCTATCTGGGGCGTATCTCTGTCTTGCTGTCTTTCAATACACTGTATATGTTCTATTTCTTTTTTTTCCCTCAATCCTCCAGCAGGGAAAAGCTCATATTCTTCCAGTTTTGTAGTTGTAATTTTGTGGTTTCAAGGTGGGATTGGACACCAGTCCAGAGAACCAAGAACAGCTTGAAAAGTTAGGGCATGTCTATATGAGCAAGCCATTGTGGAGTTAAAACAGGTGTGAATTTTCAGAGCACAAGCTGCTACTCAGTAACACCCCATGGACTCTGTTGGTATGAAGAGTGCTTTTGTGCAGTGTAGCTTGCTTCAGTTAGGACATGTAGTAAGTTATCAGAGATGTTTCTCATGCTAGTTGTAGACTGAGTTGCTTTGTGCTGACCTGAGCATTCAGGATCAATAATTAATAACACACAAGGTTATTCATTCCCTTTCCCATTTAAAAGAAAAGCTACATCCATGGTGCTTTGACTAGGCTGAGCCCTATTGTGTTGGGAACTTAAAATATTTTTAACCATCCCCAGTATAACTGAGCTCACCCTAACTGTAGCTTTTAGGCACAAGAGCATACAGGAGAAATGATGCAGCATATACTGCAGCACCATTGCAATATAAATGTTACCTGTTGGACACATTCCCTGTCTGCTCTCCCCCAAGTTGCTGCATCACATTTGACTAAGCATCTTTGTCTGGGATGGCAGAGCTGTAACATGAAGACCTGGATTTGCTTGAATTGGTTCTGTTCTGTGCCCAAACTGTATAATCCTATGAAGCTCTTTTCAGCAGAAGTCTGCCTGAAATCCAGCAGATGTACTCTTCTTTTTTTGGGCAGTTTGGGTAACTGTAGATACACATACGCATAATACATAACTGGAAATGAGTTCTTGAGTCTATAGTTGTGTGCCCAACTTGAAAATCAGATGCATTCAAAATAATTATATATATCAAATATTTAGCATTATTAGGGGCACCCTACCAGAGATGATGAAAGGAATATGAATATGTGCTAAAATATGCAGCAGGAAGGTTAAAAATTATGCATTCTGTAATTGCGAATCACTGTAACATAAGTGTTTCTGATGTGTTATTTATAGCCTGCGGTATAACTACACCACGTTAATGAAGTGCATCCAATAAGGGAGCATTAGTTAATACTTGCACCTCTGTTGTAAAGAGGATGCTTGATGGTGCATCTGAAATTCCATATTCATTTAAAGTCCCGTAGAATATATAAAATAGATGGGAAGAAGGGAAAGCTGGGATAAGAGACCTGAAGAGTTTCATTAAAAATGCTTATTAACGTTTATGTTTAAGTGAGGGGGAGTCTCTAATTAGACAGTTAATGGATTTCAGGATTGTAAATCATAAATTATATGCTCTATTTTACCGATATTCGCTGAAAATAAACTGCGTAGCAAATTATTTCTGGCAGTTTCATTAAAATTGCTGAGTATTTGTAACTAATACGGAGACTTTCACTTGTAATTTGCTAACTTAAATACTGTTTAGGAAGATAGCTGAAGTAGAGTAAAAGTACCTGACAGCTGTCTGGGGGCCTGTCTGGTTCCTAGACGGTAGATGTTCACATAGCTGAAGTCACTCACCGCAGCTTTAATGGGGATACTTGTAAGTCGAGCTTGATTATAAACTTATCACTGTAACCAGAAAGACAAAGGCTGCTTACAGATGTTTAAAGAAAAAAGACTTTAAACTCAGCACATGAGTGTGCCGAGCCCAGCACATGCCTAGAAGAGAGGGACTGTGTTACTTGGATGTAGCTTGCCCAACACGTGCATACAACAGGCACTTCAGCGGGGCTTCTTTTGGCACTTTTATCTAATAGCTGATGCAATCAGCTATTAGATAAAAGTGCCAAAAAGCCCCACTAAAGTGTCCAATGTATACAGATGCCGCAGAGCTGAATTGAACTCATGTGCTGCTTCTTCTGGTAAAGTGCGGGGTTTTTTGTTTTTGTTTTTGTGTTGTTTTTTTTTATGCCTGTCAGCAGCCACAAAGGCCTAACATTTCAGAAAATAAATAAATAAAGCATTTTACATTTCAGGGAACTAACTGTGCAGGAAGCTCTTTTAGAAGACTCATTATGTAGAAAAGATCACACTTATGTCTTCACAAATTTCATCCCCAGTATGGTACTTAACCACCTCTAATCTGATGATTTGTTTTGGCCGGGGAAGGACTAGGGGGAGGCGGAATGCATCAAAGGGAAAGTGTTGTGTTTGACTAGGCTGATGTATTAGTTGCTAACAAAGTAATAATGCTATTAAAGGCTTCCTCTTCAAGAAGCTAAATAAAAGCCACCCTGCTTCTCACCTTCCCTCTTGCACCAGACAACAAGCTGCTACCCCAAGTGATCAGAGCATGCTGTTGAGAGAATAGATTGGAGAAAAAAAATCTTCGGGTGGCATGAAATCCATAGCTTAACCATCTCCTTGAATTCAAAAGAAATTCATTTTCTGTGGAGGCATGATTGCATTTTTATAAAAGCTTGCTGAAAATTTAGCCTTGACCTTCACCCATGACAACTTGGAGCAAGATCATTTTGGTTGTGATTAAACATGCAAAACACAAAGCTAATTACTCCTCTGAAGCCAGCTTGATACGGTTGTTTCCCACATTTTGATCACTAAGCTCATTTTTGTTTTCCTTACACAGTTATTTCCTTTCAAATGGCTGTTTTGAAATGCAAACCTTAAATGGTAATTGGACTACTTTCTAAACACAATTTGTTACATAGTGCATTACCATTAGAAAATTATTCTCTGAGCTCCTGGACATCTCTTGGTTTTTTGCTAGTTTTTGGAGGCTGCAAGTTGGTACTCTCCATTTGATTTGGAATTTTATAGTTTCCTTAGTGACAATACTTCTATTTAAAAGGTCACTGCATTTTTTTTGTCAAAGAAACCCAGTAGAAATATCCTTTTGGCCTTACAACGATCATCTTTTTCAATAGATGTGTGCATACACAAACCCTGAGTGATGTAACTAAGCTTGAAGAAACTGAATCTGTATCTTCCAAAATGCTTTTCAGAGATGGTGGATTGGATTTGCCGTTTAAATATCTAACTTGAGTTATGTTAAAAAAAATTAGTTATGAACCTGTTGAATTTCAGAACTGTAGGTAGGCTTTGAGAGACATTGCCCACTAATAACATAATTAGTGTTTGAGTGACTGATCATCCAGACTAGGTGTATAATCTTATTCCGTATTGGCAACTGCCATGACTGACAGAGAGCTTTCCACATGTAATGGATGAAGAAGTAAAACAAAACAGTGGGAAGTGCCACGTTCTGTTGTTCTTAGGCTGGGGAATTTGTGTTGCTGTGGGAATGGACTTTCTCAGTCTATAATGCTGATGCCTACATGAATGTGGGTTCACAAGCCTTCAGGTGCTGTTGCAGCACATATAATTAACATTAAGAGGTATGGTAAGTAACTCTAACTTCATAAATACCCCTTTCCTGTTTTTGGCTATGAGGTTCAAATACTGAACATATGGTACTTTTAGGAACGGTAGCTATATGTATGCTATGGGGATATTTTGGAAATAGCAGTACTATGTACAGAATACAGGTGTCCAGTTTGACTGCTGTATTTTCGAAAGTTTAATAGGCTGTTAGAAGTGGTTGCTGTAGTTGCAAGGCCAGTCCAGACAGAAAAGGTTATTCAACAGGTCACCCGCCTTCCTGTAATATTTTATTTTTATTAATGATTTATGCTTGTGAAAGAAATATGGTTTAGCCTGGGACTGGCAAAAATGTAGAAAATAGCACTGTAACAATTTATATCAGCCATACACAATGGCTTGACGGTTGGAAGTATGCTGTATAACTAACTGAGCTATCTCCATCAACTGAAAAGTTATTCAAGTTTCCAGGTTTTACAGCTTTTTTTTTTTAGTCCTTGGAGCTAAAGCTCATATAGAATATCTCTCTGTATTTCAGTCTAATGTGTCTAGTTTTAATATCACTGGTAATATACAAGTAAAAAAAATAGTTGTGCACAAGCTGTGTTTAATATTTAGGTAGATCAAATCTTGCAGATGTTATATTAAAAAAAAAAAAAAAAAAAAAAA